CCACATTCCCCCACTGAAGGGAAACAGACTGTGCCTTCTCCCCAGCGAGACCCGTGTAGGACTGACTCTCAATAGAGAGGATGTTTTTTCTATTAAATGTGGGGTTCTATATTTTGCTATACTGACCATCTTCTTGTAGTGTCTTAGGTCTAAATGGGTTTCTGTGGAAACACCTCTCTGATCAGTAAATAAATAGAAGAAAATGGCTTATATGTTTTTAAAAAGCCAGGAATACATCTTATGGTGATAGCATATCAGAATCTCCTGGGGAGTTTTCATATTATACCCAAGACAGAGCCAGAGGGAGACTCTCTCTTCCCCCCACTTGACGATTACTGATGACGGGAGGTCCCATTCCTGACCCACCATGGTGTCATATCCTTCAGTGGCTGGAATGAGAAAAGGTTGAGACCCACCATCCAGTGCCAGGGGGAGGGTCCCAGTGGGATGGACATGGTGTAGCTGGCACGTGGACTTAGACATGTCTGGTACATGCAATCGGGGGAATGCCTTGCCCCTCTTGTCCTCAGCCACCTCCACATTGTATGCATTTGCATCTGCTCATTTACGTGGGGCCTGAGGCTCCTGCTGTAAAGAGAAGTTAAATGGTGCCCATCGTTGGCATCAGACGCACGTGGGCACGTCTGACGTGCTTGTGAAGGGAGCCAACAGAAAGCCAACTCCAAGCGGGGAATCTGGGTTCCTCCAAAATAATACAGCCCAAGAGAAGCAGAAAAATGGCACAGCAGTTGGGCAGCAGAGCCTGAGGTTCAGATATGAATGAGTGGTGGTAGCTTCTCACCACGCCCACCGTAACTGCCAGCCTAGGGACAGTGAGTGAACCTCAAAAGCAGTCCTCATACATTCTCAGGGCCCCAGCAATGCCGCTGTGGGGCCTGGCTAACAGAGCAGGTCAACATGGAAGAGCGCCTTCCCTACTGGGAAAATTAAAATGAGCAGAGGGCACTCGGAAGAGCAGATCTCAGGCAGCAGCCTTGGGGCTGATGGTAATGCCACTAGAACATGCAGCACATTAACCATTTCTGGAATGTGGTGAGATCAGCATGGCACAAAAATGGCAGCCCAGGAAAAAAAGAAGGAGCAGTGCCACACCCCGTGAGCAGGGCTGGCCTGCAATATCGGATGAGACACCATCTGGGGTCCCCAGAGAGAAAGGAGTGACTGAGGTTCTGCAGGTTCACACTCAGGGGCTCTTGGACTGGAGACCCTGGGGCCTGGATATTAAAGCCACACATGAACACCCACGGGCAGGGGAGGAGGAGTCTGCTACTTCTGTAGGACTTACTTTCATTTATCCTTAGAACTCTTTATTTGTGCAAGTAACTTAGATCAAAACTAAACTTTTTCTTTTTCTTTTTCTTTTTTTTTTTTGCTTAAATTATCTGGATGGTTTCTTCAGTCATCAATCCAGAGACTAAAGAAAAGTATTTTCTCTCCATCTCATAGTTCCTACACATTTTAACCTATGTTAACAACAAGTACAGTCAATTTCCCAACAAGTAGCTAGGTGAGATAAATAAAGGAGGGGCACAATTACTAGAAGGTGTTTTCTCATTGACAGAATTATATGCCATGGCAACTCATCAACTGGTAAAGGCTTTCCATTCCAATCCATGCTTTTTAAGCTATTGTTTGGGATTTAAATTGTACAATTGCTGTTTTGCACTTTAAACAAACACATCCCAGATCATAGTTCATTGCTCTGGAATATATTTTACTGTAAATATTGGACTGGCTACAAGCCATCCTGTCTGTGTTTATATAAAACTAAACCACATTATTATAGCTTGCTTGCACAGCTATCAAAAAATATCTAGGGCCTACTCGTTGCCCACATCAGCCTGTGAAACCAGTAAAATTTTGTCTTTGGAAATTCCATCTTATGGTCTACCCCATACAAAGCAAATAAACAGTTCTCTATTGGGTCTGCATTGCAGTCCAGAAACAGTCCCATCAGCCACACTCCCTCTATTCCCACCCCCGGGATGAGAGGCAGGCAGTGGCGATCCTGGCTGCAAAGTGCTGAACAAGACACCAGACTCTGAGGTCCAGTCCGTCTGGTCCCCAGACCCTGCTACCCTGATCACTCATGATTGTCCAGAGTGGGCATCCAACCTGAGGTGGGACAACCAGGGAATCTTGCTGGAAGTTTGGACCTGGGTCAGAGAGAGTCAAGTTGGTCTTTCTAGGTGCTTGCAGTTCAGCATGTAAAACGTGGGACGTGTTGACGATGAGAGAGAAGAAAGGAGCAGATGTGCAGTGAGGAGCCAAAGGGAGAAACTGGATGAGAGAGGGGAAAGCCATTTGAGCCCCTCATGTTCCTGACGCCCAAGTGCGTTCCTGACCCTGGGTTCCGCGACACACCACCAGGACCTTACAATGAATTCCCTCTTTGGCTTAAGCTAGTCGAAGTTTGCTTGAAGCAAAATATTTCTAATTAGCACAAGGATGGGTGGGAAGCCAATATAAAATGATAATAGCAATAATAGCTAACATTTAAAGAGGGCAGTTTTCCAGAAGAGGAAATGGAGAATAGTTGGCTAAGTCCTTGCATGAGGTCACACCCCAGGCAGCCCGGCCCCAAGATCAGAGGATTAACCTCTCTACACTCCAGCTTCTCGAAACGGGCACAAAGGAAAGGGCCTACTCTGGTGTCGGGTCATTGTCCTCACTCTACCACTGCGCCACTTGCCTGAGCTGGTGATAACCAGCAACCTGCATTTTTACTGTTAAATGTGATGCTGAGATAAATGTTCTTTATTATGTTAAGGCAGCATTCTTCTATTCCTCGTTTACAGCGATTTTTTTTCTCCGGAAATTGATGATATTATCAAGTAACTTTTCAGCTTCTAACCAAAAAAAAAAGAAGCAAATGATTTTTGTCTTTTGACCTTATAATTACTTTTAATAATAGAATGCTTACGATTAGATTGTTCTTAGTTTCCCCAAATCAAACATCCTTAATCAGTTTGCATTGTTCTGGGAAGAGATTGGTAGGTTCTCTTGTGTTTTATTTATGATTTTTCTTAGTGAATAAATAAGATGTCTTTAGTTTTCTTTCTTTTTTTTCTTTTCCAGATTCCATTTTATGGTTATGGTAGCTCATAATGACGAATTAAGAAGTTTTCTACCATTTTCTGATTTCTGGAACTGTTTAAATAGCAGAGGGGTTTTCTGTCCATTGAGGGTTTGAAAGAACATGTCATTAAAGAAATATACATACATATATATATATATCCAGTCCCAGCATCAATTTTGGATATAGTCCTTTTTCCTCGAAGTTTTCTAGTTTACACTATGGTCGTCTAAGTTTTATACTTCTTAAATAGAATTGAATAATTTATATTTTCCTAGAAATTTTACAATTCATTGAGTTATCCAATTTTTTAACGTTGGGCTGAAAATAGTATTCTTATGTAATGTTTTTATCGCTCCATATCTGCAGATACTGCCTGCCCTGCTGAGATTACCATTTCCCTTTACTAGGCCCTCTGGGACCACCTCTAAGTGAGGAGGGTACTGGCCAGGCACCTCTGTGTTGACGTTGGCTCTCTTCCCCCTTTGGTTGGCCTCAGTCATCTCCACCTGGATGTCCACAACCTGCCATTATGTTAGAAGCAGCAGCTGTAAATGCCTTAGAATCCAGTTGGAGTGAGTAGGCCTGTATTGGAGCAGAAATAAACCGTGTTTTTATACACAGGATTGTGGTTGCCATGTTGGGGCCCGGTCAGTTATCAGGGTGGCCAGGAAAGAGCGCTGAGGAATGAGGCACCAGAGGGGCACCTGGCATCAAAGACCCTAAGATGTTAGATTATCCTCTGAGCCTCCCCATCCACGGTGGCCCCATAGCACCTTGATGAGGTTCTGTTCGCCTCGAGTCTCTTCAGAGTCAATATTTGCATGTAATTTCATGCAAAAAGAATCAACTACTTCAAACATGCCAATCTGAAGTTTTGTTTATAGTTACACTCATTCTACAGATTAGAAAATCTATTCATTTTAACAACGTTTAGAGCAGCTATACAGGAAATCTTTTGAATCTAAAAAGAGCCTCATGAAAGGCAGAGGAGATGGGTTAGTTGGCAATTCCAACTGGGAGAGTCTGAGGAAGTCACAACTAAGTCCGTGCCCAGGGGAAGTCTAATCAGATAGGAAGACAGGGAGACCCCAGTTATGGAGGCTGGTACCAGAACTAGGCAAGGCCCCATGGTGGGGAAACCAGGGTGCTAGACCAGGCAGACAGGAAGCTGGTTAAGGAGTGGAGCAGCAGTGGGGTCAAGCTCCAGGAGGCCTCGGCATTCAGCTAAGCAGACTACCAGCAAAGATTCTAGGTAGCTGTTTGCCCCAACTAGGATTTAAATCAGTCAAGGCCCTTACATCTGGAGGTAGCCAGGGCTCCGCGACCTGTTCTTCCCAGCAGACCTTGCGCTTTGTTTGTATGTGGCTGGCAATATTGAATAGCAATGAAGGCTCAGCACAGTGTAATTCCGTGTAACGCTTCCCACTGACTGTGGGCGCAAGTGCCATCTGCGCTTCCTGCTCAAATCCTCCGCCTCCCAGCACGGTGTCAGGCACACATTACATCTTCGGGTGGTGTCTCTGGAATGCTGCAATGGCTAAGGATGCGTGGTCCAGAAAACTTCCTGTGTCCTTGAGTTCGGTCCTCCTCAGGTTCAATGTGAGCTGTTTCTCTAGGGTTCCAGGATTCCGCTTCACCAATGCTGTCCTTCTCTTGGGTCCTCATACTCTCAGGTCTGAGGAGGATTCCAGCAAAATGACTATTCTGGTACTTGGGGTGAAGGAGGGTTCCTTTAGTACATACCAAGCACAGGGGCACTGCTTACGGTAAAGAAGGAGAAGAATGGGCGCCTCCCATGTGCTATCAGTTGGCAAATTCCTTAAGCAGCGTAAAATGAGTTAAATACTTAATAATGTGAATTCTCACCTGCCCTTAAATTTCTCTGCCTTGTCTGCTCCAGGTTCAGGTTTAGCGGTCGTATCCTAGGCCTGGCTCTGATCCATCAGTACCTTCTGGACGCCTTCTTCACGAGGCCCTTTTATAAGGCTCTCCTGAGACTGTAAGTGCGTTGCAGCCACGGTCCCCCTCCGGCCCTGCCTGCAGGATGACAGGCGCTGGCCTCCCGGGCACCTCCGGCACTATTGTCACTGTTTCGCCACCATTCCTGTTAGGTTTATGGTGGTTTACGTTTCCCAGTGCTTAGCTATCACATAAACCATTTTAGCGCAATAAAAAGCCATTTGGAGATTTTACGTAAGCATAGGAGAAGGCTGTTATAACATCATATGGATATGGATATATCAGTTTTTGTAAATAATTATAGTAACATTACAGACATTTCCTTAAACTACTAAGTAGAATTGATCTGTCTATAACTTGGTCGTTTTAAAATGATCCTTTGCTCCAATTGCCGGGGACAGTCCATGAGTCAATAATTGTTTCATGTTTATTATTGTAAATCCTTAATATTTCCCTTTCAAAAACATTATTGAATGAACTAAAAAGATTCCTCAATATATTCAAAAGTATCAAATTGTTAGAGTAGGTCTGTGTTGTTTTAGGCGGGAGTGGCATGACCACGTTTTGGGATGACGTCTGGGCAGCCACTGGTTGAACAGTCTGTTTCCCTTCCTCCCTTTGAATGCACCCAGGCCCTGCGATCTGAGCGACCTGGAGTATCTGGACGAGGAGTTCCACCAGAGCTTGCAGTGGATGAAGGACAACAACATCACAGATATCCTGGACCTCACGTTCACGGTCAACGAAGAGGTTTTCGGACAGGTCTGTGAAATGTGGGACTTGGAAAAGAGATTTTGGTTTTTATTGTGGAAAACTCACACAACATAAAATTTACCATCCTACCCATTTTTAAGTGTACAGGTCACTATTGTTAAGTATACTCACATTGTTCACAACCAATCTCCAGAACTTTTTCATCTTGCAAAACTGGAACTCTACCCATTAAATAACTCCCCATTTCTCCTTCTCCCCAGCCCTTGCAACCACCATTCCACTTTCTCTTTCTATGAATTTGGCTACTTTAGATACCTCATATAAGTGGAATCATACAATACTTGTCTTTTTATGACTGGCTTATTTCACTTGCCATCATATCCTCAAGGTTCATCCATGTTGTACATGTGACAGGATTTGCTTATTTTTTAGAGTTGAATAATATTCCACTGTGTGTATATACCATATTTTGTTTACCCACTCATCTGTTGATAGACACTTGAGTTGCTTCCACCATTTTAGCTGTTGTGAATGATGCTGCTGTGAACATAGGTATACAAATACCTATTCGAGTTCCTGCTTTCAATCAATTCTTTTGTCTATATACCCAGAAGTGGGATTGCTGGATCAAATAGTAAAGGGATTTTGTTTTTAAACTAGAAAACAAGGAATCTTATTCATTAAAATATAATTCTTTGGAGCTGGCCCCGTGGCATAGTGGTTAAGTTCAGCACACTCTACTTCGGCAGCCCAGGTTTGCATGTTCGGATCCTGGACATAGACCTACACCACTTATCGGCCATGCTGTGGCGGCGACCCACATATGAAATAGAAGAAGGCTGACACAGATGTTAGCTCAGGGCTAATCTTCCTCAGCAAAAAAAAAAAAAATATATATATATATATATATATATATATAAAATTCTTTGAGGACTACTTTCTTTAATAAAGCTGTCCATGTCTTCTTCCTTCTTTTTCTTGTTATGACATGGATCTACTTCATAGAGTTTTTTGAAAATTAAATGTGATAATGGATCAGAAAGCATTTTTATAAAGTGTGAAATATGTATGTAAGGTATTTCTGTTACCTGTGCAACTACAAAAATACTTCTTTTTATCACCAGCATCTAGATATTTACTCCTCTAAAATGCGTATCTTTCCATACTATTTAATAAGATAAAGCTTCCCATTTGTTTTCAACCAGCATTTCTATAACCTGAATCTTCTGGGTTACAGTTTTATCAGCCTGACGTGTGGTAATTTGTAATGGGCTGTTGTGAGAATTAAGTTGGGATGCTTGATAAGTGCCTTGCATGAATGTAGACAGTGTGCTGAGTCGGTCGGTGAGTTACCCACTGAGCCTTGCAAACCACCCAGCACCCACATGTCAATCAAGAATCTTTTCCCAAAAAAAGGGGGGTCGGCCCAGTGGCACAGCAGTTAAGTGTGCACGTTCCACTTCGGCAGCCCAGGGTTCACCAGTTTGGATCCTGGGTGTGGACATGGCACTGCTTGTCAAGCCATGTTGTGGTAGGCGTCCCACGTATAAAGTAAAGGAAGATGGGCACAGATGTTAGCTCAGGGCCAGTCTTCCTCAGCAAAAAGAAGAGGATTGGTGGCACATATTAGCTCAGGGCTAATCTTCCTCAAAAAAAAAAAGAAGAAGACTCTTGGACACGTCATGGAAAATGTCAATGTTCTGTTGTGTTTCCTTCATGTAAACTCACCTCTGAAGAATACTCTCTTCCATATTTGAGAAAAAATTAGTTCTTCTACTATATAATTATTTCTCTATAACTATAGAGAGCACATTCAAATGTGTCCAAGAATGTACGATTCACTGAACTGTCCTGCCATGTACTAGATGAACATATAGAATACACTGTCCCCTGCGTGTGACTCCCTTTAGCCCATCCTTTACGTTTGCCCCATAGAAGAGGGTAAATTTGTAAAATCAACACAATTATTTAGCAAATTGTATTAAGACAACTGGGTAGCCGTCTTAAAAAATTTCAAGTTAGATCCCTAACCTAACTCATACTAAATTCCACCTGGATCAGAAAGCTGAACGTAAAGAAAAATAATTTTTAAAAAGTGAGGGAATTTTTATTTTTAATCTTTCAGTAAGGAATGCTGCTGTAGATGTGACATAAACTTTCAGAATCATAAAAGAAAAGATTGACATAGTTTAGCTCAAATTATTTTTTCAGTTCTGCATGGCAAAAATACACCATAAACAAAGTAAAAATGGCATAATATTTAATACATTGTAATGTGTAACACAGACAAAAGGCTATGTCTTTCAAAATAGGAAGAGATCCCACAGATCAATAAGAAATTATCAACACCACAATAGAAAATTAGCAAAGATTATAAGTAGATAGTTCCCAGAAAAGGAAATATGAGGAAATACTCAACTTCATTCACCATTTTTAAAAAGGTAAATTAGAGCATAGTGAAATACCATTTTTCCTTAGAAAGTTGAGCAGTGTCCTATTTTGGAGATGGAGAAGCAGGCAGTCTGTATGGGAGTGTAGGTGGAATAAGGTACCTCTGTGGCATCTGTCCTCATTCTAAATGCACCTGCCCTTGACTCGGCATCCACGTCTAGGAATTTGTCTTACACATAGACTCACACCTAATTGAAATGGCCTGTGTATTAGGATCTTCATTGCAGCATTGTTGATAATTGCAAAAGATCTGAAACAATCTAAATGGCCAGCAGTAGAGAATTGGTTAAATACATTATGATACATTTACATAATGGAATCGTGGACTAGCGGGATGTGTGGCTATTAAAAAGTGTAAGACACCCCAACGCATCAATTTACATATACATCATAAATGATAAATAGGATATTATAACAACAACAACAAAGAAAGGATGGGACAGATCTAAATTGGTATGAAACAATTGCCAAGACATATTTTTAAGTGAAAAAGTATAGTGATGAACAGTGTGTGTAATGTGCTACTGTTTAAGGGGAAAAAGGAATAATATATACATATTGCCTAGTCTGTACATAGAATCTCCCAGGAAGGGAAATAAGGGTAATTTTCTCCAGGCAGGGAGATTGTATGGCTGGGAGAGGAGATGGGAGAGAAACTTGCTTTTCATTTTATAGCCTTTTATACAACTCAAATTTAATTCCATGGACAGATATTATCTGCTCAGAAATATGAAGTAAACTACAAATAATTAAATACATAAAATTAGAGAAAAAAATAACATTGAAAATACAAAAGCACAATCCTTCATGTGTGTATAATATAGGAAGTGAACAACTCAGAGAAAAGTTTAAAACGTTCCCAGTGATAAAAATCAGGATGTGTTGTAGATCTAGAATAATGTATGATCTGTTTAAAGCTTACGCAAATCCTGTTCCTTTTCAAATGCCGTCACCAAGAACGATGACTTTTGTTTTAGAAAATTGAGTTGCAGCCCTTCTTTTGGCAAGTTATGAAATGGTGAAGACCAGACAGACAGATGCAGGTGAAAGACACCATAGGCTTCTCATGGGTGTATTAGGATTGGGGTCAGCTGCTAGTGAAGAAACCCAAAATGACCCTACTGAAATTAACAGAAGTTTATTTTTCTCTTGCCACATAAAAGTCTGGGAGGGGCTGGCCTGGTGGCGTAACAGTTAGGTTTGTGCACTCTGCTTCAGTGGCCTGGGGTTCGCAGGTTTGGATCCTGGGTGTGGACCTAGCACTGCTCATCAAGCCATGCTGTGGCGGCATCCCACATAAAATAGAGAAAGATTGGCACAAATGTTAGCTCAGAGACAATCTTCCTCACAAAAAAAAAGAAAAAGAAAAAAAGTGTGGAGGCAGGCAACCTAAGGCTGCAATCCCTATGATGGGCTCCTGTGCTCATGGCCCAGATGCACATGGCACCCATCCCAACCATCACATCCATGTCTGAAGCAGCAGAATGAAGGAGCAAGAACCCCTCTCTTTGAGGAGACCACCTGAAAGTGCCATACAACACTCTTGCTTACACCTCATTGGCCAGAATTTAGTCACAGGTCACACCTTGCTGCAAGAGAGGTTGGGAAGTAAAGTTTTTAACTGGGCAACGAAAACCCAGAGGATCCAAGGAATATGGATATTGAGTGGCAACTAGTATGTTGTAATTGGCCAATAGTTTATAATTAGCGCTGGTCACCTAAGTGATAGGAGAAAAAGTAACCATCAGACATATGTGAACTGTTTCGTTTCGGTACCTGTGTCCATGAGTGCCAAATATATATATGTGTGTGTATTTTTTAAACCAATAGCTAAGTACAGTTACTCCTCATTTGTCTTATAGCTCTGAGGGGTGAGGTGAACTCCTTAAGCGAATTTGAGATGACTGACACTGACCTTTTTCAAACACCAACACTTTTTGATAAAAATGTCTACTATGTTATCCACCTTCTTACCTTTCAAAAGACAGAGCACAGATCATAACTTTCCTTGATGACTCAAGCTTGTCCTAACAAACGGGTGTCACCAGACTGAGTGGCAATGCCATTTTCTGTTTCCTTTCTCAAGGTCAAGCTGTCACTCTGCAGCCACTATTATACCTGGCTGTGCAAACCATCTTCGCATCCTCTGCTGCTTTGCTGCCAATGAACTGGTGTGGGTGGGGAAGCTGGTGACTGTTACAAACTTGCTTTAATCGAGATTCAAGAGAATCAATTACGTGACTGTTGTATAAGGACACTGAGCTCCATTTGGGGACAACCAGAGGCATTTTTCTTTCATTTTCCTTATGCCTCCTGAGTTAAAGAAACATATTTTCTCTTTATAAAACAAAAAACCACAGCTCTTGCAAGGTGCTTAAGTATCTGCTTAGGACAACTAGAGCCTTTCTAATAACTTCTAGGCAACTTGAAGGACGAAAGAGGTAATAATGCTGAGCCTGTGTGAACAGGACTCGTTGCACAGAGGTCATCCTCCTAAATTTGGCATGGCTTACTGTGAGATAAGCTGAGCCGACAAGCATCGCAATCTTTTTGTTTTCCCACAAGGTAACGGAAAGGGAGCTGAAGTCTGGAGGAGCCAACACGCAGGTGACCGAGAAGAACAAGAAGGAGTACATTGAGAGGATGGTGAAGTGGCGGGTGGAACGCGGCGTGGTGCAGCAGACAGAGGCTCTGGTGCGGGGCTTCTATGAGGTGAGGCCGACCCAGCTGAGGAAGGCAGGCTGCAGGCCAGGGCCTCGGTCACCAGACACAGCTTGTGAGGGAAAGGGAGAGGAGGAACCAAGGCAGGCCACGGGCTCAGCTCTACTCACCAGAGCACAGGCAGGACCTGCCTGGGGTAGATGGATGAGGAGTCAGAGTCCTCTGGGAACCCAACTGTTGTGAAAAATGCTCTCACAAAACTGGGGTTGATGTGGCCTTCGTGTGCCGCGTGTGAAAACGTCCGGTACCTCCTGTCAAGATATGTGCAGGTGGCATGTCCTTTCATTCAATGAAATAAAAATAAGTGAGGTGAAGGCATTGAAGGGTACTGTCCACTCTTGCCAGATTTTTGTTTTGTTATAATGTCACTTTGTGCCACATAATCCATGCGGAGGGGTAAATCGAGAGGGAGTGATGGTTGCTACCCTTTCTGTCTGCAAAAAATTGACATACTCACACGTTTCCAGTCTAGAAACAAGAGGCCATGAATGTTTTCCCAAGGCTCGGGGCTCAGAAGGTTTTCTTTCCCTGCCGTGATGGAGAGCAGCGTGGGTCAGTGCTGGCCCACCACTGGTTTCATTAAAGGAGGTCCCCACCGCAAGGGCTCAGTTGTGCCTGATACACAGGGACGTGGGATGGAAAAGCCAGAATCAGAACCTAACAAGGCAGCTCCTCCCAGGTCTTTGAAGGAGGGAGGTAGGAAGTCAGAGGAGAAAGGAAGGAAAATACTGTCGTATTAATATATAATGCCTGTTCCTAGGAAATAAGGCATAGTTTTATGTGGAAGAGAGGGTACCTTTTAAGAAAATGGTAATACTAATACCTGCTGAGTGACTTCAAAGTGATTTGGACTTTTTGCCTTTAAAATCAATGTTACTGGAGACTTAAATGTGACGAGAGAAGGTCAAGTCTGGGTTGCTCATCACTTCATGCTGAGAGGGAGTATCAGAGGTAGTGAAAAGCATGGGACTTTCATTCAGTCCCCAGGGCATGAACAGGCTACATTTAAAAAAGTTTAAGTCACAATTTTGAGCTTAAATACGACCACACATTGAAAAATAAGTTATAATTGACATTCAGTTTCCCAGCCTAACCCACAGAAGGAATCGTAATCAATGTAACCTTTCACCGTGGTTGGCCCTGTGTACCGAACCCTGATCTGTATTTCAGGTCGTAGACTCGAGGCTCGTGTCAGTGTTCGATGCCAGGGAGCTGGAGCTGGTGATCGCTGGTACGGCAGAAATTGACCTGAACGACTGGCGGAATCACACCGAGTACCGGGGAGGTGAGCTCCCAGGGCTTGCGAGGATATGACCATCACAGATATGATTCATCAATTTTTAAAAATTTTTTATTGAGCTGAAATTGACATACCATAAAATTAACCATTTTAAAACAAACAGTGCAGTGGCAGTCAGTACATTCACAACGTTGTGCAGCCACCACCTCCAGCTAGTTCCAAAACATTTTCATCATCCCAAAAGGAAACCCTGGACTCATTAAGCAGGTGTTCCCCATCCCTCCCTCCCCCCAGCCCCTGCAACCAGCAATCTGCATCGTCTCTATGGATGTACCTGTTCTGGATATTTCACATAAATAGTCACATAATATGTGGTATTTTGTGTCTGGCTTCTTTCACCTGGCGTCCTGTTTCAAGGTTTGTCCATGTCGTACTATGTTTCAGTACTTCATTCTTTTTTATGGCTGAAGAATATTCCTATACATATGTTTCATCATCATTTTTTGAAGACTACAAAAAACTTGGCCTTACTTCATACATGTATGAAAAGTGCGTCCTAGTACTTGCTTTGCTCTAACCTTTCAATCTGAACTTTCCTTCAGGTGACAGTAGTCGCCATTAGTGGTCTCTGGCCTAACTCTGTGTAGATGTGTCACAGAGGACACCGCCACCCCTGGCCAGCTCCTGAGCTGGGTTGCATCCTGGCAGGGAAATGGGTCCTGCTTCGTGTAGGACTGGTGCTGTCTTCACCTCAGTCCCTGTTTGCCGCAACACGGTGCTAATTGTCTCTCCCAACCTAATTCCCCTTCCCCCGGCCCGACTAGTCTTCCTAAAACATTGTTCTATCAGGCCACTTCCCCACGCACAAAACAGGCTCCTTAGTACCTATCAAGAGGTGTTTGAAAGTATTTTTTAGCCTCAACACCCTTCCTTCATGTAAAATCTTGCAGAGAAACCCCCAATCAATAAAGCAGAGAGCGAGCTAGGGGCCTGCCCCTCAGCCTCTCGTCTCCATAGTATGCTCAGCATAGGAAGCCTCGGTGGACGTCTAAGCCCTCCTTGGCATGGTAAGAAAAGCACTGACATAAGGTGTCGAGTCGCAGTGTCTCTGCCTGGCTGTTAAGACCCCCAGCCAGTTTCCCCTCCGTCCTTCCAGACACCCCTCTACACCAGTCTGCTTGCTGTTCCCTGCATATTTCTTCCTCATTCTTGCTGTTCCTATTTCCCCGGCCAGAGATACCCTCCTCCTCTTCTCCACTCACACAAACCCTTCGAGATCCTAACTCACGCCTCACTTCCTTTATGAAGCTTTTCCTCTTTCTACCCCCACGCACGCTGATTTCTGCCATCTGTGACTGCCTCTTGCGTTGGCAGTCAGCGGTGAACCGTTTACTGATTGAGCCAAGCTTGGTCTCCTGTCTGCGCTGTGAGAGGGACCCAGGGCTTCCTCTGTGGGCCCAACTCATCTCAGCCTGGGGCTGGCCTGAGCGCAGCTGCTCCGGGGGCACCAGTGGCTGCAAGAGAGCCCAGCAGCTTCCGTTCACCAAGCTGGCCGTTTACCTCAGGCCTTTCTTAAGTCATAGGCTCTCATGTGGTATATGATTACCAAGAACTAAGACATCAGAACAAAAAAATACGATGAAATCTTGTATTCACAGATGGTTTTATCTCTTAAGAAGATCTCTACTACGCCTAGCCACTCCTTGTCTACATTTATATAAGGCGGGAAAATGACCTCTGGGGGCCCAAGTGTTTAAATAGAAAGCAACGTCTCTGAGGACATCCCTCAGAGCATAAACTCTTCTTGTAAGATGTCTATTTTATAAATCTGCTTCTGCTGGAGAGCTTGACCTAACCACACAGGTTGTTTTAGACCTCTCTAAGGCCACCATTAGAGAAATCAGCAGATGAGAAGCAGCCGTTCAGTTCTTGTCACACCTGATGAGCGTTTCATCTCTCCCCCTCCGCTCTTCCCTCCCCTCCCCACGCCCGCTCCTTCTCCCTCCTTTTGCTCCGTTCAGGCTATCACGACGGGCATCTTGTGATCCGCTGGTTCTGGGCCGCAGTGGAGCGCTTCAATAATGAGCAGAGACTAAGACTGCTTCAGTTCGTCACGGGAACATCCAGTGTGCCCTACGAAGGCTTTGCAGCCCTCCGAGGAAGCAACGGGCTTCGACGTTTCTGCATAGAGAAGTGGGGGAAAATTACGTCTCTCCCCAGGTACGGAGCTCTTGCCAACCTTCAGGGAACCCGCTGAAGAGGGCCAGGCGTTCCTTGGTATCTGAGCTTGGGTGATCCTCCTTGGGGGTGGAATTCTTTTCTGCCACCCGAAGCATTGTTATGTGAGTTATGAGTGAAGGGTGCAGGTGAGAAGTCTCTGGGAGGTGAATTTAGACCATATTCTTAGTGATTTTTTGATGATTGATGGTATTTGGGCTATAATATCATGGTCCATGTGTTTGTTGTGAGAAGCTTTCCAATCCGTATGTAGCCCATTTTAATTTAAAGGAGAATGTCTCACCTGGTGGGAGTGAGGGGAGGAAGGGCTGAAAACCCAAAGGAACCCTTCCAGCACTGTCTCTGTGCTTCTACAGCGCATCACTTGACGCTCGGTAGGACAGCTGTTCGTGTACATGTCACATTTTCCTTATTGTGTTTTCAAACATGTGAGGACGAGACCACGTCTGTCTCAGGTCTCTATGGTGACTTCTGTGTAGTAAGCCAGCAAGGAAATTGTTGTGAGATAAATACAGAAAAGGAGGCACTGGGGATCCAGGCAGTTTAACAGAACAGCTTCCCTAGGCTGTGAGTTTTCCTCCACACACTTCCTGGGTCCTTTCTATGCCGCGTTGGGTAGCATATTCCTCATCAGTGAAGTCAGGAGCACTAGATACTTCTGTGTAGGTACTATAGTAATAAATACTGCTCAACCGACAGAGGAAAAGATTGATCCATGTTATTTTCAACTACTATGATATTTTCCGTTTATAAAACAAGATTCACATTTATTTCAGCTCTATTTCTCCATGGCTTCCCAGATACCATTGCTAAGTCCCTCTTATGGAAGGATTTACGGAACTATGATCTTCGTCTAGCTTTCCCACCTTCCTAACGTCCTGAAGACAATTCATGTGACGTCAGTGAGCGTCAAGAGGCCCGGGACAGCGCATCCCAGCCAGTTAACAGCAGCCCCAAGCCTGGGCACCATTGTCAGCCCTGGCTTCACCCGCTTTGTTAGCAGACCCTCAGTGCTCATTTGCGTGGCTCTCCTGATGGCTGAAGCTACTGAATTAAGTCTGGCAAGAAAATTAGGTTAAAAAGGCAAGATTTCCATTTGTCTATTTTAATGATAGATGTGGAGGATGGGGTTATTTGGAAAAATTCTGTTTTTATTTTAGAGAAATGCATTTGAGTCACCATTTGAGGATGGGCTTCCCCACCCCGCCCCAGTGTGTACCTCCAGAAGGGGCTGAGGTACGACACAGGAGATTTCAGTCTAGGGAGGAGCACAGCCCGATAGTAGTGAGACACAACGCAAGGTGCACTAAGAAGGGAAGGAAAGAGCGAGATGCTGTGAGGGTGTAGGACAGAGGCCCCATCCTGACTGAGCTGTCACCACAAAGAAGCTGGCATTTCGGTGAGCACTGAGGGGCACGGAATAGGGGAAGGGACTTCCAGGCTGAACCAGCAGCATGAACAAGGCCTGGGAGTGTGAAACAGCCAGCATGTGCTCAGGAAGGGGCACCAAGCCAGCGTGGAGGACAAGATGTCTGAAATGACATGTGTAGGGGATGCAGTTGAGAAAGATAGTTTGATGCGCCATGAAGAAAAGACCCCGCTGAGGAGTCTGTTTTATTCTTTTGGAAAAGGAAGTTATTACTTTTGTCATTTTGGGGTCACAGATTCAGTTTAATTACATATTTGCTTTGGAAAGCTTTGAAATATACATTAAGACTCTTAAGACAGGGGCCGGCCCGGTGGCGCAGCAGTTAAGGGCGCACGTTCTGCTTCGGCGGCCCGGGGTTCACCAGTTGAGATCCCAGGTGCGGACGTGGCACCGCTTGGCAAAAGCCATGCTGTGGTAGGTGTCCCACATATAAAGTAGAGGAAGATGGGCACGGATGTTAGCTCAGGGCCAGCCTTCCTCGGCAAAAAGAGGAGGATTGGCAGGAGTTAGCTCATGGCTAATCTTCCTCAAAAAAAAAAAAAAGACTCTTAATACAGAGAGCTTATAAGGTGGACATTGAGCTTATGATCGGGCCCTTCACATCTGGACCAAAACATCACTAAAAAGGCCACTGCCCTCCAACCCCAGAGAGGATTCTTTGGAGAAGCAAGGACTTCACCCCATGCCGGTAGGGTCCCAAGAAGCACATGCTGAGATTCCCGTGAGAGGACAGTGAAAATGACCCTCTGAATAGTAACCCCTGACTAGTGTCCCTTGTACATAGTCTGAAGATCTAAGAACCTAAGAAGTGTCACCTATGTGTGGAGAGAAAGAACGGTAGTTCAGAAAGACCTGGCCAGGCCACATGGCAGGTGGCAGGAAGTCCTGAGGCTGGCGGGAGCAGGAGTGACAAGCAGACATGAGGTGACCCAGGGCTTCCCAGAGACCATGAGCCCCAGTGCACGCTGCCCACCCTCGGAGGAGAGGGCGTCTGGGCCTGCTTTCTCCTCAGCTCTGCCCTCTACAGAAAGGCAGCTGGCTTCCCAGATGAGAACGCCAAGTGGCAGCCCAACAAAACCCAGGTCAGAGCCCAGACTAAAGCTTTACGTCAGTCCACGTGCTTGACGTCTAAAAACAGTGCGAGGGGTAGGAAAATGGACTTTGAGAGTAGGGCTTTCAAGCATCTAATTTTGCAATGCCTGGTCAAGAAACTTCTTACACCTTCATAGGGGACGTACAAGACGAGTGGGACGGTCACTAGAGTTGAGGTCAAGGAGCTGCAGGCTAGGGCATTGAACAGGACATCTGTGTGGACTCAGATGCTACACAGCCTGGGGGGAACACTTGAAATGGAAAGGATTTAAGTACAGTACCAGAGATTTTAATAAATGTAGTTAGCCAGAAGATCAGAAGGTATGAAAGTTATATCTAGATCACTGATTTTCAAACTTTTTTAAGCATAGCCCACAGAAAGAAATACCCTTTGCATCACAACCCAGCACCTGCATATGTACTCGTGTGTGTGTGTGTCTGTGTCTGAAATACAAGTTCCTCAAAACAGCACTTTAACCTTCTTAGCTGCAGGTAATACACTCTGTTTTCTACTCTATCCTATTTCATTAAAACATCATGTCAGACAAAACCAGTAGTTTTGGAAAAATTATGTAAGTGGCTTGAGATTCAAAGGAACAGAAATTTTTGGTCAAAGATTGAAAAGTAATGGTCTAAAGCTGGCATTGGGGAGTGAGAAGACTCCACATCACAGATTGTGGCAGTGTGAACAATGGCTGTCTCCAGTCATGAGGACTGAGAAGTGACGCTAGGACGTGAGGGTCGTGTCTGAACAGAGTTTAAGGAGGTGGGAGATTTCCTTACCATGAAATGAGGGTTGGAAAGGGGGCAGAGGAAAGGCTGGGAAGAAAAGAGAAGCGCAGAAGCTGTCAGAGTAGACACAGCACAAGGCAGCGTGGAGATGGAACACAGGGGAGGAGAAAGCCTTAGGAGTTTACCCTTGGAGTAGGGACCAGGGATAACACAACTCTGAGTCATGGGTGGATTAACTGGCCTAAAAGTTGCAAACAGAATTCCAACATGAACTTGCTTCACCACAGACGTAAACTGAGCCCCAGCCCAGGCTGGAGGCGGAGGCCTGGTTAAGCTAATAGTTGGCTTACTCTGTAGGGGTGGCTCTCAAGGGGGGGCAGGGAAGAGGCAATTTTGCCCACTCCCCCCCATCCCCGGGGACATTTGGCAATGTCTGGAGATATTTTTGGTTGTTGGGGAGGGGTGCTACTGGCATCTATCTGGTAGAGGCCAAGGATACTGCTAAGCACCTACAATGCACAGGACGACCCCTCCCCAGGAAGAATTATCAAGTTCAAAATGTTAGTAGCGCGGCGGTGAGAAACCCCGCTCTGTAGGCTGTCAGGCTACAAAGGAGGCGTGAGGGAGCCATTGGGAGTCCGGAAAAGACACTGACAGCCATTGAGAAGCCATAGAAAAGCCAAGGGGAGAGGGGTGTTCAAGAGGAAGAGCTGTCAAATGCTTTTAAAGAGCTTGAGGAGGTGGGGGTAGAGAATGGGCTCTGGATTGGGGCATCCAGAGGTTACTGACAAACTTGAAAAAGTAGATCACCAGTGATGAAAGCAAGGACCCGTCTGGAGAACGAGGCTGTAGGTGGGCAGACTCGAAGGGGAGACACAGCTTCCATAACGGGCCTCACAACCAGCAGCAAGTAATAGTGATGGTTCCTCTTTTTGTCGTTTGCTTTTTTTTTTTTTTTTAAAGATTTTTTTATTTTTTCCTTTTTCTCCCCAAAGCGCCCCGGTACATAGTTGTATATTCTTCGTTGTGGGTCCTTTTAGTTGTGGCATGTGGGACGCTGCCTCAGCGTGGTCTGATGAGCAGTGCCATGTCCGCGCCCAGGATTCGAACCAACGAAACACTGGGCCACCTGCAGTGGAGCGCGCGAACTTAACCACTCGGCCACGGCGCCAGCCCCTGTCGTTTGCTTTTAACCAGCCTTAAAGTGATCTCTGCTGGACAGGAGCAAGACTGTCTTTGGCACTGTGTTGGTTAACATTTTAATCAATAACTTGGGAAAAGTCGAAGAGACAGGAAGATCAACTGTGTAGGTGACACAAATTAGAAGGGCAAATAATACAGTGATTGGCACAATCTAAACCCAAAATTCTCTCCAAATACTGGACCTAGATTAACACCAAACAAAGTGAAATTTGTCCTGCCATCATTGCAAAGATCCGTGTGGATCAATTGCCCAAATAGGAGATGAAGGTGACTCATTTGCCAGCAGTTTGTGTGAAAAAGGCTGAGAGTCTGAAGTCCCCACAAGTGTGACACAGTTCCTGAAATCATGATAGCAATTGTGGTTGCATTAAGAGACTCTTATTTTAAATAGTGATTCATATCGTTGATCCTCTCAAAGACCCTCTGAGGTGCACAGAGCGTGTCCTATTACCCAGCAAGTGATAGCACTGAGGCTCAGAAAGATTAACAGACTTTCCCAAGGTTATAAAGCTGGTAAGTGGCTAGACTGTGACCAGAATAGAAGACTTCTGACCCCCAGTTTTGTGCTTTCTCCACCACCCCACCCCACCCGGGAGCCCTGGGCCCAGTGCACAGGGAGTGAGGTAGGCCGGCTCTCTCTGCTGGCAGAGCCACACCCGGCGGGCAGCAAGCACTTAGGAATGCTGACTCGAATCGTGATTTGATTGTGTTCATTCCTGCTAGATGACAAGCTAGAATTTAAGAGAGTTAGCCAAGGCTGCACATAAATGCAATAAAAGCAACTCTTGAAGAAACCCTGGGTGTTCAGACTAGGTCTTGAAAAGGTGCCATTTGCTGAATACTTTCAGTTTATTCCCAGAAATTATCTTGTCCAGAATTAATTTGGTTCCAACTATTTTGTAAATAGGGGATTTTTTTGTCTGTCATATTTCCAGTCATGAGGGCCAGTTAAAATGACCAGAGGAAGAAAACCAAGAGGATGACGTCTGCTCATATCTCACTCCTGGCTAATTCAGCCAGGTCCAAAAGCATACTTGGGATCTTCCTGCCCACTTAGCTTGGTTAGCCATGGCCCAGGGTACATCCTAGTGTCAGGCTTTGTAAAAAGAGAGAAGGGCCACTGTAGCTGTCTTCCTACTCTTACTTGCAGTAAAGATAACTCTTTACTGAGTTATCTTCCACTCTTCCTCAAACAAATACATTTAGGTAAAGCATTTCAATTATTTTCTTTTGAAGCCAACATAGGCCTGTTTGAATCTTAGATAAAAATCTAAGACCTCTGCTGACCTCTGCCTATTTTCATATGTCTTCCCAGTTAAATTTTTAAGGCCTAAGGGCAGACACTGTATTGTCCTGTTCCCACCCTTGGAGCTTGAGGAGACAGGTGTTTCGGAGAGTGGGGGGTAGCTTCCCAAGGCCAGTGAGGGAGCTGTTACCAGGGGAAGGAGTATGGATGCTGGGAGACGAAAACAACCGCATTCTCCCCAGACTCTCCGTGTGCAGGAAAACCTACCTTCCCATCCCCTAATTGATCCCCCCATATCCTGAGCTCCACAATGGCCTGATCTGGAACTCCAAAAACAAGGGTAAAAACACAGCACAACTTCCCTTGGGATCTTGTAATTAAAAGAAGAGTTTAATATCCCAAATAAAATTCAAGAGAAGAGAGAATGGTTTTTTTGGTTAGGGTTTTGTTTAGTTTTGTTTGTATGTATGTTTGTTTTGTGATATTTTATTTTATTTATTTTATTTTTAAATTTATTTTATTTTCTTTATTTTTTATTTTTATTTTTCACAGGGAAAGATTCACCCTGAGCTAACATCTGTTGCCAGTAGTCCTCTTTTTTTTTTTCCTCCCCAAAGCCCCAGTGCATGGTTGTGTATCCTAGTTGTAAGTCCTTCTAGTTCTTCTGTGTAAGTCACTGACACATCGTGGCAACTGACAGACAGGTGGTATGGTCCTGCACCCAGGAACCCGTCCCAGGCTGCTGTAGCAGTAAGAGTGCCAAATTTTAACCACTAGGCCATCAGGGCTGGCTCAAGTTATCTTATTTTTTAATTTATCTTACATTATCTCACAGCACCCTTTTCTGTGCTGGTTGGCTTCTCAAAACACCATTTCGACACACCCCCCCTTCAGGGAGGAGAAGGCATTAGATCAGCCTTCCGCTGCACCCATCCACCTTTCACCTACTTATGTACGGGACTCAGCATCAACCAAGGATTCTGTAGAAACAAAGAACCTCTGACAGGGAGCAGCCAGTCCGGCGATTTAAGGTTCCAGAGCAGGAATCTGTGTGTCCTGGGCTCTTGGACTCTCCACTGAGCCCTGCACAGATGACACAGGGTCTGGCTGGTCCCAGTCCGTGCGTTAGCAATGGCGGGGGAAGCCATTCCTTGTCTAGGCCAGACACTGGCATGTGTGGGCCTGCAGGATGAAGCACATGCCAAATAAAGCAGAACCTAGGGCAGGTGGCACGGGAATGCTCCAGGCACCCAGGGAGGACTATCCCACAAGCTCAGCTGTTTTTGGAAATGCAGCACTTTGGCTCAGCCTGTCCCATAGAGAACTATAAAGAAGTCAGACTCTCTCCAGGGCACACCTGGTGTAATGGAGCATTGGATCTCAGACCTCCAGGGAATCCATTGGCGCCTCTAAATTAATGCACATGGTTTACAGAGGCCCAGAAATCAGAGCTGGGCGAGGACACTTGGGATTGTGCCCCTTTAATACTAATGTTATTTCTGCCTCCTTCACCGACCACATCCACATTCAAATTTCAATTGCAACGTAAAGCTTATGCCATAGAGTTTATCATTGATTTGCTAGTGCGGTGTCGTGTGGTTTGCTTACAAATGCAAACCACCTATTTCTGTTTATTCCGCTCCCTCAACTGGTCTCTTCCTGTCTAAAAGGCTGTGGTTCTTAGTTTATGTTTATGTTCTTAGCAATGTTTTACGGGGGTCCTAAATCATGGTTCAGCTCACTTTCGATTCACTTTCGACTCACGGCTTCAAACTGATTACAGATATATGCAAACCCGTTGTCCCATTGTGTCGTTGAAGCAAACCCCTTCACCAATCTTTTCTCCCCCGTTCAGGGCTCACACATGCTTCAATCGATTGGATCTTCCACCTTATCCCTCGTACTCCATGTTGTATGAAAAGCTGTTAACAGCAGTAGAAGAAACCAGCACTTTTGGACTCGAATGAGGAAATGGAAACTTGCCTGACCTTTTCCTGGCCGGTGACGTCACCCTCTCCCTTTCCCAGAATCAACTCTCCTTTGATTTTGGTATTCCATGATTTTTATTTTCAAACCAAATCAGGATTGACAAAAGCTGTGCATGAAGAACTGCCTTCTTCTAAGATCTCACCTTCAGGCTTATCTCCTCTATTTTCAATGAACCGCTAGCCTGTATGCAATATTCAAAAAAGCACTCTCAAGGTCTGTGTATATCCACATACCTCCATTACTAACAATGAAATATGAATGCAAGTTATGCTACTCTTGACCAAATGGTAATAAATGTTTACTTCCATTTATATGATTTAAGGGAAAATTTGAGCATTAAGCATTCCAAGCTTTTATATGCCCATCTCTTCTGAGCAGAGCCACCATTTTTTATAATTTCTAACAACCAACTCCAGAACCTAGGAGCTGATCAACTCTTTCTTTCCCTCCCACTCTACTTCTCCCTGTGCATACAATCCATCCCAAAACAGCAGCGGCAAAGCCGAAATTTTTATACGTTCAACTCATGATTCATATGTGGCATCAGTCTCATCAGCTGGAACTAGCCTAGACATATGGTGCAAATATTACACTTTCCAACAGATAATAGCAGCGAGAGAAACACCTGCTGATGCAACGCAGAGCATCCCAATGGTCGTGGCTCAACTTGAGTTCAGAGAAGTCTAGGAGGGGTGCCCCTCTCGTGAACACTCCACACAAGAAGCACAAACTTGTGCACATGCCCAAGAAGGAGATCTCAATATGCAGCATAAAGGGCAAGGCTTCTCCCCGCACTGTGTGGCATAGAGTGTGATCACGCAAACAGGAAGTAGGAGAGAAGGCCGTGTTAGGCTGGTCTGAAAACCTGAGTTCTGTATTGTTTTGTTTTATTTTGCTTTGCTTTGTTTAATCTAGCTACAGTTCTCCTTCCCAAAGGAAAAAAAATGTATAGATAATCTCATGACTTTTGTTAAAGCCGGGTAATTACTTGCTTGGCAAACAAACTTTTATTTTAACTTTGATATTGGCTTTTTTTATGCTGTTTTCTTTTTTATTCTTAATCATGGTGTTCAGATTCCGTCACATCTGATCATCCACAGGGACCACACTAAATAAGAAGCTGCAGAGAGTGACGGTGCTTGTTAGGGATCAAGGGCAATAGAACACTTCTCCTTCATCCACAACAGTCCTCCTGGAGCAGAGACCTAACACCCCAGAGGCACGTTGATTTGTGTCAAAGTGGATATCCAGGTTCCTTTAGCGTTCAGTAAAGCGATCTCTCAGAAAACTTTGTGTTTTCAGAAAAACAGTTGCAGCCTCCAAAGATAGCCTAAGTTCTCAATTACATTTGGAATAAACCCAAACATAATGGTCATTTGCTGTTTTTCTAACCTTGTCATCCATGTTGTCTGAAATATGTCATAAATGAAAGTGTTTTTCTTCACTGGGAAGAGAGGAGATAAAGGGGCACCACGGTTGAAATGTCACATTGCTGTTTTCAATATATGAAAACAATAGAGAAATGTGAGACATGGAAGACAAAGTTAATTTCTTACCAAGCCAGGCATTGTGCTCCTTGTAGCAATTTGTGTCTGGACAGTGCATGGCTTGTGCTCCCCGCTCTCCAAAATGGAACATTCTTTTAATAGGAATTACTTAGAATGTCCAACACCCCCTTGCTGCGTTGTATCTGTTGTCAATCAGGGAATATAGATGTTACAGAAATTTAGCTTACTGTTGTTGTCTAAAAAGAATATTAACCAAGATAGGATAGAATGTGTAGGTTATAAAATACAGAATTTGAAGGATCTGTAAAATTCGGTCTGCATTTCAGCATCTGAAAGTTATGGATTCCGGTGGGGCTATTATTTATTTATGAAATCAGAACATATGGATTATACAGATCATTTCACCATTCTAACTCCTTGAACAGCATCTCTAGTACAGGGAGCATCTTTCATTTTTAGAATCTGGTGTTATAAGTATGTAAGTACTCATTAATTCAAGCATATAATTCTATTTTTAGTACTTACATTATTTGTTAGGCATTGGCAAGGGAGAAAGCTGTTCAAAAAATGCAAGCTGCTACTGGGGAGCTTTGTAACTTATTCAAATATCTAATTAATCTATCAGCTAGATTAATTAATGCCTATTCTACCCATATGCAGCAGGAACAAGGTATAATACAAACTATAGAAAGATAGATAGATAGATAAACTTGGTCATAGATGATTTTTCAACTAACTTGTCCTTACCACCATCCCCCAGGCTATGGCTCTAGATGTCTCCCGCAAAGCATTACAGGAACAGTATTTCATAAAAGTATAAAATTCCAAAAGGAAATACTAGTGTCAGAGTTAACTGAAAGAATGCGAAGCTTGTTTAACAGGGTCTCAGATTCCATTACAGCCTGCACAGAAACCTTAAGGAAGGAAAACAAAGGGAAGAGGAGCACAGACAGTCGCTATGGAAAGATCCTTTTATTTCTCTATGTCCCAAATGATGTTTCTTTAGTTACTATTCCCTCATATATGAGGCTGATTTTAAAGTTGTTGATAATCTTTCATTTTATATATATATAATAAAACATATATATATATATAATAAAACAGCTATAGGATTAAATTATGCTATTAATTTCACCAGATAGAAGTATAAACCACCCCAAATCACATAAATCAATGGGTAAGGCAGATCTATTTGTTACCACTTGTAATTTTTTTTTAATTTGAAATATGAGTTTTCTCCATGGACGGGAATTATAAAATTACTTACTTATAAACCACAGCTCCCCTAAAACTATATCTGTTAAAGCTAGTTTTAGTAAGAGTGGATTACCTTTAATTGGTGGACAAACAAGAACAATAAATAAGAGAAAACATGTTACAATTTGGAAAATGGTTTTAAAATGCTATAAAGTTTTTATAATAATAATTTCGTGGCTATCACATTTTAGTCTATCATATGAAGATGATAACCCTAAAAATAGAAATTGACTCTGCAGCGTCAGGAGGAACAGTCTAGATCTACTGAGGTTTTTGAAATTTCCTATGTATGTACGTTGACAGTGGTTCTGAAAATTTTTTACTACCATCACTATTATAGCACAATTGCTCGGAGGGCAATGAGAAAATTAAGAAAGAGAGATGTATGATGTTTTGGCAGCCTTTAAATATGCAAAACCTAAATCTTTTTCTCTTACAGTACATAACCATATGTCCTTGAACAGTAAGTGTGATTGTGTGACAAGCCAATGAGCTAGACTTCCCAGGACAGTTCTAATGTCCCATCTATAGCATTGTCAGCCCATGTGTCCAAAATTTGGGTTCAGAAATTTCTCAATTGCCACAGATGTTTTCCCAGTCAAGATGAAACACCTTCAAATGAAAGTAGTTAGAACTTTACATAACAAATGTGGTGCTTTATTATTATTAATTATTATTATTATTAATTATTGTTATGTACTTCAGTGTTCATTATTGAAACTACTGCAATACCATATCATAAAAATCTGGGATGGATGTTCCAGCCATCATAAGGTCCAAAAAAAAAGTGTTATTTTCCTGTTAGTGACATGTAGTCCCTTTGTTCTAGTAGAAAAAAAGGTGCCTAGAGGTAGTATATAGAGTAAATATTGTTCCATTAGCCTACTTCCTGCAGCTTCCAATTTATCCAAGGAAATGTCTATAACAATTTTGTTACGTCTTTGTTCTCGTCAATAGCAGAAGAAGTCCACATTATTGGGCCCATTTTGCTTACATCGACAAGAGAAATGTCACGTGATACTCAGGCCGAGCTTTCTCTTCCATCATACCACCTTCAAGGAATGTCAATAAACTCACTTTGGTATGGCATTGTGTGTGCTCCTTATTGCAAACAGAAGTCTGGGGTGACACATGACGGTTTGTATCATGCCGATGCTCTCGCTGGATGTAAGCAATAAAACAACACAGAAGGCTCCCAGTTGCTATGATAAACAATCCCTGGGAAAATTATTTCTCAAAAAAGCATAGTATGTGCTCGCAAATCCAGGAATAAAGGAGCAGCTTTAGTAACAAGTTCCTTGCGTCTGACTATTAGAACTGCTCATCAACCACATGGCCTTTGTTTTCTGAGTGTCCTTTGTGTTGAACCCGGCGTACACTGGCTTAATGAATTCCTACCTGTTGAGATGCTACCACAAAGGCCTCAAGCCACAGCCTAACACCCAGTGTGACCCTAGGACCAGGGTTGGCACTAGGCAAAAATGTGTCCCGTGGCACATATCGTAACTCCCAATATAGCAATGGTGTGACTTCCTAACAAGCCTCTAAAAGAGAAACCATGTGGCTCTCACTCGGTGATCAGAAGCTGATTTGTTCTTTGAGGAAAAAATATTTTATTATTAGAAGAAAAATGTGGTTAGGATTGAGAGAAGGGAAAATCTGAGAAGGCTCGATATTGCGTGCTTGCACACGTGCTGAGTATACTTGAGACTCATTCTAACAGAAAATAATTCTTCTCTTAAGGTATAAGAACAAAATTAGCCTAGACTATAAGTTACAGAAAGGAGCAGATGATAGAATTTTGTCTTTCCATCTGAGCATTATCCTCAAATCAAGATTAGATTTCAGATCTCCTCATTTCTATGGCAATACTTTTCCAATACACTGTGCTGACAACTTATTAATTACATACTATTGAAAAAAATGACACAAAGAGCTTATATTCAAGATGTGGTTTAAATATGTTTATAGAGGATGGCTCTCTAATAGAATAAATGAAGGGAGTTTTGAAAAGTCAGGCTAACCTTTATCACTGCTGCAGGAATCATCACATTCATAGCTGGGAGTAGACACTTAGATACTTTTGCCTGAGAGTTTTTCTCGGTGATGAGGAATCTGAAACTGGGAGAGGTGATTTGCTTAGCCACTAAGCTTTATCTTGAGGGTAAAGGTAGGCCCTGTCACAAAATCTCCCTTGGGGTCCTGGGCTGCTGGACCTGGCATAACCGTTAGGAAATTTGCCAGGAGGGCAGAAGGGAAGGAAGCCAAGACAGCATCCAAGGGGATGCCGGGAATCCATAGCCAACGAGTATTTACCAGAGAAGGATGTGGGCTGCTTGCTACCATAGCTCCTCTGGATGAGTTTGCTGAGGCTGCTGTAACAAAGGACCACAAACCAGTGGCTTAAACAAGGCTGGAAGTCCAAGATCAAGGCGATAGTAGGGTTGGTTCCTTCCGAGGGCGGTGAAAAAGAATTTGTTCCATCCCTCTCTCCTAGCTTCCAGCGGCTTGCTAGAAATTCTCGGCATTCCTTGGCTTGTAGATCTCCAGACATGTCATCTTCATGTGACATTATTCTTCTGTCTGTGTGTGTGTGGTGTCTGTGTCCAAATTTCCCCTTTGTATAAGGGCACCAGTCATTTGGATTAGGGCCCATTCTATGACCTCATTTTAACTTGATTACCTCTGTGAAGACCTTAACTCCACATAAGGTCCCATTCTGAAGTAGTGGGAGTTAGGACTCTAACATATCTTCTTTGGTGGACACAATTCAGTCCATACCATCCTCCTTCCTGCTGCATTAATAGCTGTCATCAGCCCCAACAGTAATAGTAATAATAATAAAGGCTAACATATTTAGAACCACACTATTCGCCATGAACTTACTAAAGGCTTTTTAATTGACATGATAATAATCACAGAATGAAAAAAATGTTGCCTTTAAGTTACTGCTATTTATAATAGTTTAATATAATAAATTAATAATTAATATTGTGGTATCTGTTTAATCAGTGGGTTAATGAAGAAGACTGTGATCACAGTAAATTTTTTCACAACTTAAACAAAACTAACTTGTACTTTTCGTGTATCATCCTATGAAATAGCTACCTTTATATCCCCATTTTAAGCTGAAAAAAACTGAACCATAGAGAAATTAATTAACTTGCCCAAAGAGAATGGTATAGCTAATATCTGAACAAGGAACCTGGCTCAAGGGCCAAAGCACTCAACACTACCACATACTACCTTCATTCAGTTAACCGTTTATTGAATCCTTATTACATGCTGGGTCCTGTGCGAGGCACAGCGGGAAATGGCAGTCTTTGTCCTCAGTAAGTTGATAGCCTAGCAATATAGGCGTGCATTTTTCTCCATTTTGAGATTTGGCTTCTGTTTTAATATGAGTAGTCCTCCCACCCGAACCCTGCCCCAGCTCCTGAGTACAATATGGTGTCCTTTAAAAATAATAATAATAAATAAGCAAAATGCTATGGGGAAAAGGGAACAGGAGCCATTGGCTCCACTGGAGAGGAAAGATGGACAGGAATGTGTTCATGAGGATGCAGGAGTTGAACCTATATAAAATTGGGAAAAATAATTTAGATTGATCAGCAAGAAGGAAACATGTTATTCTTCCTGAAACAGTAAGCAGAGAAAGGACTAGAAGTGACTAAATCAGCCTAAGAACCTTAATATCTTGCAGAGCTGGGAGAACACAGCTACCAGGAGACTTTTCTAATGTCTGGAACCTCTGAGTGAATTAGTGTGAAAACTTATTCAAATTAGCCATCTTATATATGCCCAAGAACGTGTATTTCTTTCCAATTTATTCCAAAGAGTATATCATATAGAGTTCTCTTTTTTCTTTTATAGTTATATGATCCCTATTACTTTTTAAATGTAATAAAAATTGGGTCCTAACTTTTATCCAAACTTTTATATGGGTCCATAAAACGAGCTTCTCTTCTTTCAAGCTTTTCCTTTTAGTAGGAAAAATTAAATGACAGTGCGGAATTTATCTTTCCTAAGATCATGGAGATCTCATAAAACAGCTTCAGTTCTTCACCCCTCCCTATCGCCATACCCTTTACCCCATAACTTTGCAGCCACCTCCTTTAGGGGGTCAAGCATTCTGACCCACCCACTTTGGCCAACATATTGCAAGCAGAGGCATGTAAAGTACTTGCACAATTGAGCTTGACTTCTCTCTCTTGTCATACTGCTGTCATGAGGAGTACATGCCTAGTGTAGGAGGAGGATGACAGACATGGGGAGCAGAGCTGAGACGAGTCTAGGTCAACCAAAAGCCAATCAACTCCCAGGTATTTGAGCAAACCCAGCCAGGATCATGAAAGCCACCTAGCTAAACTCCAGCTGAGCCCAGAGACATGAAATAAGAGCTTATGGTTATATGCCAGTGACACTTTGTGATTGTTGTACCTCATTATTGTGGCAACAGAGTACTGATTCAAAGACCATTAGGCATCCTTTCCTTTCTGGGATAACTTTTCAAACTGAGCACTGGAAGTTTACTTGAACCTTATGAGTGCATCCACTGTGCATGGTGGTGACTGTTTAAATTAATAGTGAAACTGAAGAGACGAAAAATCAGCATTTTTATATGAGCTCATCAACCATAAATTATAAAATGTATGAGGAACTCCACTGCCAAGAAAGAGAATCCACAGATAGAATGAATAGGAGGAACTTGAAATAGTATTGCAATCTAAAAGAGGCATAAAATAAGTACTTTAAAATGTTCAAACAGACAAGGAAGGAACAGAAAGAAATCATAGACAGAAGATTGTCAACCTTGAAAAGGCAAGTTTGAAAAGAACGATATTGTGCCTTTTTCCTTTTTTTTCTTTTGCTGGAATGAGCCATTTGAATTCTTTGAGTATTTAACTTGTATGAAAATGTGTAGCAGCTCACAACATTTGAAAGAGAGCTTCTAAAATAAGTGAAACTATATTTTCATATATATGTGTTTATAAAATGTAGTCTTATCATAATTGTATGGTAAAAACAAATATTGCTCAGTTGACTTTTACTTTATAAACAATCAGGTTGAGATAAGAACACTGAACTTCAACTTTCAAGAAATTGACATCTAGGTGCTTAATAAATGTCATTTAAGTTTGGTTTTGTTATAAGAAATATAATTTGTTTCATTGGTATAGCAATGCATACACACACATATATACATAAATATAATTTGGTTTATAATTGTTGATAATTTATTTCTGTCAATTTTATAAATAATTTATAGACCAAAAATCTTTGAATTTGTAACTCAGTAAGCTGCATATCTTTTAAGACTATGTATTATGTGTATATAAGTTATATACTTATATACTGGTTATGGTTAGTGTAACGAATGATGTGTATAGTATAGATGATTAGTATAAATAACTAAGGATGGTTAGTTCTCTTTGGTGGCTTGTTTATTTTACAAATATGTAATGACATTCTTAATCCCCAATAATATTCACCTCAAATTCTGTTCTCTTGGTTATTAAGAGTTATTGAGGGTTTTATGGATATCTACGTCCCACCTATCGTAGATACCTATAAAACTCTTTACCCAACAAACAGATCATATGCATTCTTCCCAAGCACAAGAAACATTTGCAAAAAAAAAAAAAAAAAACCACTGTCTCAATAAATGCCGAGGAAATTATATACTCTGACCACAACGCAACATAATTAGAAGCCAATAGTTAAAAATTATTTTTACCGCAGGATAATAACAAAACACTAGGCATCCATAATTCGTGGATACAGCTAAAACATCTCTTAGATTTAGAGTTTTACTCAGGAAAGTGGAGTCACCCTGAGTGATACAGAACAAGGAATTTATTATAGGTATAGGCCTTACACAGTTGTGGGAGCTGGTGAATAAATCCATGGAAGGTTTTGCAGCTGATGGTTGGCCTGAATCAGGAAGAGAAGCCATATATGAAGCAGGGGAAAACTAGGACAAATGAATCCCACACGGATAAACTAAAGCCCATGGGAACAAACTAGAAGCCACCTCAAGAACGTTGGTGACCTGCTGAAAGTGATGGGTCCTTTCGTCATGGAGCTGC